CAAGCCAATTTTTACCAATTAAATAAATGCACGGCAGCTTGTACATAAAGGGGTAAACAAGTACTCTCACCAAGCAGCGGCTATCCAGAGTGCTAATGCACACATTATTTCCAGTGATGGCTATGTGAGTTATTTCAGGGAAATCACAGAAGGAGATCCATTTATTCGGAGCGTTCGCATTGGGCTGGCTGGACTGTTGCTTTTTGTTCTTCATGTAGTCGTTCCTGAAGTAGGTGTTGGCCAGCGCCTAGGTAAAGACACTGAATTAAACAAACTGTCCGCATGGCACAGAATTACACCGTCAGGAGGTTGTAATGACGCTTTGACAAACCTTTTGCTCGGACACCTTCCTCCACTGAATCGCCTTGGTGCCAGACACCAGTATCTCGTGGGTGGCGGGGCCTATGAAGTCGTCTTTGGAGGCACCCTGGCAATGGCTGGTGTTAAAGTAAGAGCTGCTTCCAGTCCCGTCATCTCTCAGCTCCAGGTGTGACACGGTGAAGGTCTCTGTTCCAAAGCGTGGCGCCAAGTGTTCGAGGGTGGAGATGTACTTATACATGATCTCCTGGGCGCCCAGTCGCCCCGTGTCCACGGTGTGCTGCTGGAAGGTCCGCACGAACTCTGCAAAAACCCGCCGGATCCGGATTTTTGTCAGGAAGTTGTCTTTGGAAATGTGTTTGGCGAAAGACTTTGGAATGCACTGCAGGAAGCTGAAAGAAAAAAATAGATGTTTTGATGTTACCTGGAGATTAAATTAGATAAAAAGCTTTGATGAGAAACTGGATTATCACAGGAGCAGAAAATAGGATAGAAGTAACAGCACAACACACAACCTCATTATAACGAGACAAATCATCATCATATAAAGAACATATTCAAATTAATACAAGCCATTTAAGGTATTTGTTGTTAAATATGTTAACAGATTTAAAGGGATAGTCTCCATGTTTTATAAGGTACTTATCCACAGTCAGTGTAGTGTAGTACTACAGTAGATGGAGTTTGGAGAAACAGCACAGGAGCGCAGCAATGTACTGCTGCGGCAGCGGTTTTTAAACACCTTACGGTGCACAGTGGTGGCTTGGTCGCCTAACAACAAAAGTTGCCTCACAGCCAGAGGGGCCGGGGTTTGATTCCCAGGCTAGACAGGTCAAAACATCCAGACGTTCCTTTTAAGTGCAGTTATTAACCATTACTATTTCACCGTACCGTATGCACTCCTTCCACAGTAATTACCTGACTTTTTCGGCAACATCTTGTAAGGTGCAGCCGGTTTGCATCGACTGGTGCGAGAGTTGAAGCACAGCCATCCCCAAGCTCTCATTTTTTAAGCGACTTTGCTCGTCCTCCGTTTGAACGTCTTCCATCTGCACCACCTCGTTCACAAATTCATATTTAGCCTTTTGGAGACACCAGAAGAAAAGACGTTCGGCACTTAATCCTTGTGACAGCAGCAATTCATTGATGCACAGTCAACCCTTCAAACTATTTCAAGCACCAACCTGGAAGAATAAGTACTCTAAGGCGGTGATTTCGAACAAAGGCGAACTGCCCGGACTTGTGCCGGATCGGAGAGCATAACGGGATACAGTCGGCTCCTTGTCATTTAGTCCGTGCCAATTCCGAAAGTAAAACCTAGTTTACAAGGAAACCAGAGAAACAAAGTGAAGATGCGGAGTGCGTTTCCTCTGCCTCCCTAACACGGCGTCATCAAAACACAGACTAACCTCATACAGTAGAGAAGAACCAGGCTGGGGTCCTCTGGACTGAACTCGTGGTTTGGACTGTACCAGCAGTGGGATTGTAGATTGTACAGAGCAAACAACACATGGCACAGAGGAGTTATCCCTGGGGAATAACGCACAGATGTTAGACAGCAGGATAAAACACCACATGAAGACAAGAACTCCACCCTGTGGTCTGTGCATGGTCACTCTCACCTACAGCCTCTGCAGCAGAGATGCACAGCTCCTCCGCCGTGACTCTTCCTCCTGTGTGGGACAGGTACCTCTCCCCTTCCTTTGACCAGAACAGGTAAACATGGACGCCCGGACCCTGAGGGGGCTCACGCAGGCCGGGGGACGCCCTAGACTGTGAACGCTTGGACCACCCACTTCTGGACATGGTGGGGGCAGCTAAATCACTGAGACACACACGCACGCACGCACACGCACGCACGCACACGCACACACACACACACACACACACACACACACACACAGATAGACACACAGATATCAATGTAAACAGTGGTGGAAAGTAACAAAGTGCTGTAATTAAGTACAGTGTTGAGGTACTTGTTCTTTACTTGAGTATTCTTGACTATACTTCTAATTCACTAGTCAGAGGGAAATATTACACTTTTTACAAATCCTAATTAATAATCCAAAATATGATCAATACATAAATTATGTATGTAAATTATATTATGTAATATCAAGACAATACTGCTATTCAACAGTGTATACAGTAAAATGAGCCCCACCCTGCCAGTAAAGTTATGTATATTAGTGAATAATTATAATACAATAACATAATTCTGCTTAATGAGTACTTTTACTTTGGTACTTTAAGTATATTTTGATTCTAATACTACTGTACTTTTATTGAGTACGTTTTTGATTGCAGGATTTGTACTTGTTAAAGTATTTCTCTACTGTAGTAGTTGTTCCACCACTGAATGTAAAACACAGTACATGACTTTAATCAGCTGTTGGATAAATCACGTCCGCATTAAGGCCTTCATAAACAGAAACAAAAGCATTACTTTTGCGCTTTTCTGTGATCACGTATTTAATAGTTTATCTTTCTACACGATGACTAGTTTAGAGAACTGAGATGTCAACAAATGACCAAAAAATGTGGAGATAACTAAGAAATATGACGTCAGGTAAAGAGATTAGTCAAAGGGACTTCCGGGGGTTATTTCTTGTCTAACTTGTTTACATTGTGCAACACTCTATAGCATCAAATAACAGCTTTACGTGTCTTATATTCATTTACTTTAACGCACACCGACTACGTGACCGAGTGGCACATAAACACGCGTCCTTGCACATTTCACGGTATATCCGATGCCGTGATAAGGAAATATGTAAACAATATTACAGCCAAAACGTAGCAACGTGTGCGGCAAATCCGTATCTTACCATTTAACGGAGAGCCGTGAACGATGTTACACGAGAGGCTGACACTGCGAGACGAAGTGACAGCCAGGCTTCATTATGGTTCAGCGTATTTCCCCCTTCTTCTTCTTCTTCTTCGTCTTCTTCTCCGCCTCCTCTCGGGTTTTCGTGAACTGCGAGCTGCGACGAGATGGTTCCTGAAACTCACGTGGCCGCGCCCTCGGGCAGGCGTGCGCGTAAACGCACACACGGGCTGACCTTTCAAAATAAACGTCGAGGATAAAAGTTGTGAAATTGAGTATATTTACTGAAGCACTGTACAATTTTGACCTCGCTCCATTTATTTGACAACTAGTTACTAGTTCCTCTGCAGATTAATATTACATAAAAACATAAATGATACATTTGTAAAACTGTTTTAGATTAATACATATATATATACAAAGAGTGAAAATTATCTACAGTATAGATTATATATATATATATTTCATTATACTTTGCTTTTACTTGTTGTAATGCACTGTCAATGTGACCAGAGCAGACCTTTTCATTGCAGTCATTTTGCCTTAATAAGATGATAACAGGTGTAATAAATGAACGGTAACGGCTCCACCTGCGATTAGTCTGCGATGAGCTGAAATGTTTTAAGAATGGAATGAGTCCATATAAACAATGCACTTTGATGTTTTATCATTATTCACCAACCATCATAAAACAAAGTCAAATCAAAACCACAAGCACGCCTTTAGGAAGCAGGTTCATCGAGTTGTCATGTTGTGTTGTAGGTCCACTGTTCTTCACTAGATGTCATGATTTCATCATTTCAACTTTTCTTCATGAGCATCTGCTGTTTGATGTCTGGTGTCGATTTCAGGACATCTGTAGCCACCTTTGTCAGTGTCATGTCAAAGTTTGATGGTGTTTGTTCTGCCTTTCATCGTGTGCTGCCATCCTTCACAATAAAATCATCTTAAAGCTTGGAATAAAGCTTGCAATAAGAAGCTACACTAGCTTCTGTCAGCTGGCTTGTTTAGCAGAGATGGGGACTTGGACTGAAGTCGCACACACAGATTTGAGACTTGACCTGGTCCCTGAAAGACTCGGGCTCAAAAAAGTGACTAGTGAGCATCTTGTGAGACTAGAGGGATGTGTTAAATTACAGTAGATTATCAGCTGAGACCCAGTGTAATTATAATAGGGTTGTACTGTCATTGAAAAATAGGTTAGTTATTATTGTATGCTTATGTAAAAGTATAAAGGTTAATGCTGCCTACCCCTGCTTTAAAGGAATGTTTTCTTATTACATCGCAATAGCCTGTTTAAAGTGATCATATAGCAACCAACCAGTCAATGCTGACACCTTATGCGAAGAGATGAAACAGTAAACACTTTGAATTCCTTAGATATTTTGTCAGGTGCTGAGCAACCATAAGAGACTTGACCTGGACACAAAACACAGACTTGGGAGCATCTCTGGTATTTGGTGGTATCCAACATAGACAAACAATGCCTTTGTTTGAGCTGTTTTACATAATATTTGTTGATTTTTATGTCAGCTCTGTCACCTTCAAAATAAAAGCATCAAAAGTGAAAGTGTAGAATCCAACCACACCTATCTAGGACTGCTTTTGTGTTTAGTATTGGTTGTCTTTTCCTGTTTAATGTGCACTGTGATGTTCCTGAGCCCATATATGTATTTACCCACACTACCACAGAGTGTCACATGTATGTAATGCTTCATTAGAAAACCAATGCACAGATGCAGCTGCTCTGTGTTTAAACAGCTTATTCTCTTATGACTAACTGTTTAATCGTATGATTTGAAAAGCAAGGCACCCACACCTCGAGTTTCTAGACAAAACCACAACACCTGAGTTTTGAGTAGTTGGATATAATTCAACCATTAGTTAAGCAAGTTCGTAGAAAATGTCACTTCTGGGAAACAACCAGCTGAATACATCGATCGCTAAAGCCTTAAAAGTCGAACAAAACAAATCACAAATTTGGTAAACCCTTCCATTCAATTCAATAAATGCACAACCTGAAAACGTCTGGAACATTTTTAACCATACGACAGCACAAGTGAAGCAGGCCGGCTCTCCCACACAGACCGACGGGTGCATACGAGTACATGGAAGAATACAGCCGACGTCCAAACAAATAAAAGTCCTAAACACGAGCAGCAGGAGTTACTGATGTGACGGAGTTGTGCAGCTAGCTGAACACTAATACCTCATGTCTCAGTTTAGCATTTTACAGAAGTTATATCATTGTTCCATGATTGGCAAACTAGTCATACACATTGTGGGGGCGCAATACAGTAGGTGGGTACATTGCGGAAACATATCGTGGGATCAATGTTGGTCATTCCTTCTTCGGTTCTTCGGGCTCCTGTTTCACCTCCTCGGGCTCATGTTTCACCTCCTCGTAGGTACCGTCTTCCTCTTTCTCATCCCCGTCGTCTGTCTTGGAGTTGGGGACCCAGAGGCCCGATTCTATGCACTGCTTCATGTGAACCTTCGCCTCCTAAATCATTCAAACAATCACATTTATTAACAAACTCAAAGTAGGTAGAAAAATACTCATAACTATACATTTACATATGATCCCCAGCAGACATTTATCATAAAAAGAAATAAGACTGTCGGCTTCAACAAGGGAACCTACCGTCGGGTCCATTTTGCTAATAACATCTTGTAACAGCTGGATGTTTTTATCATCAAAGCATTTCTGCATCTCCTGCAATTAAGAACAGCATTTTTTATTTTTTTTTTAGGCACTTTATGAACCAACAACATAACATGAAGGCAGAGTGCCGAGGCTTCTTGAAGAACTTACAGCTGGCAGGGACTCGTACACATCCACAGGATCGAGTCCTCCAGGTCCCAGGCGCTTCTGTCGCTCCTCTTCCTCGTATTCCTTCATGGCCTTCTCGATGCGGATCTTCGCCCGGCCCCGAACCCGCTCCTTAAATGAGTCCAGCTCGTCGTTGAAAGCATCCTGGTACTGCTGATCTGCGGTCTGTGAGGGGGGACACGTCATTTGGTGTGTGGGTCGCAGTCAAATATGAGCATTTAATTGAATATTTCAATTAGCATTTGTATTAATTGTGATGTTTCCAAGACAGGAATCTTTTGAGGAACTCAGGAGCTTAAAGAGCAACTTAACACCCCGTGAAAATCTTGTCTTTGCTGATCTACAGCGGTTTAACTTCTCGTCCTGCTGCTAGGTCTGGTCTGAGGCTGAGCAGGCTGGACATTTTCAACCAGAGAACGCAGCAAAACGCTGGACAAAGGACTAAACACAGCTCCAGTACAAATGTTACGAAGGAGGAAGTCACTTTACGATGAAACACAAGAAGTAGAGGCATTAAAGCGAGATACCGAGTGAAAGAGCGAGAGAGAGGGAACATGTACGGGAACATTCGGGGTGGGGTTTAAAGGACGACGATCGCCGATTGGTCAAATACGCACAGCACTGTAAAACAAGTACTCTAGTATTGATTTAGGACAAAGAGAAAGAATTTCTCTTAGTTTCGTAACATTAAAAGTAAAGCAGTCGCTGTCTGTTTGTTCCTGTTTACTTCATAGCTCCGGGAACTTTTGTTCAAAAAGCACGAGGAACTATTTCACTCGATTTCGTCGCATCCAAATAAAATGAAGTCACCTTGATCTTGGCAAAGAATTGCCGAAAGCAGCCGCGAGGGTCCACCTTGAGGCTTTTGGCCAACTCTAGAATGAACTGCATGACGATGGTCTGATGAGCCACTTGCTCCATCAATGAGTGTTTCTGCAAAGTGAAGAATAAAGAACGTGAATAAAGAGTATCTCGTAGTTACGGCCCACTAAAACACATACTTTCGTCGTCGTCTTTACCTCCTCCACTTCCAGGTCGATGCACATGATGACCAGGTAGTTGGCGGTCTCTTCACACACTAGATCAGAGTTGTCAGAGAGGTACTTCTGGCTGTCGTCCCAACGTCGCATCATGCCTGTAGTGAAGACAGCAATGAATCTACTTTCCTATAATACTCTGCAACATGCATGGATGAATGGATGTCAATAATCTTCACCAAAATGTTTGATCTGCTTCTCATTTTTCTCCACAAAGGTTTTGTGCTTTCGCTCCTTGTCTTCTTCGGTCTCATCAGCAGAGTCAGGTTTGAGATTGACAACACTCTGTGGAGGGAAGCAGAGAATCATCGTTACAAACTGGAGAGGTTTAAAGATTAGTATCAGGAATCAGAAGCAGAGTCAGAGATAAGTACATTATGAAGCCACGGACACAAAGACAAACTACAGAAGCAATGACCACTTCAATGACAGGAGCAGTGTTTTTAGAAGTAAAATCAAAATCAATTTTGAATCGCAGCGCATCAGATTGCTGCAAATGTGTTGCTTAGCATAGAACATCTGCCTCACCTTGCTGAAACCCTCCTTGCTGAGCGTGTCGACGTTCCACGGCATCTTCTTCTCTTCCCGGTTATGTTCCGTCGACTTCTTCTCCCAATCCCGCTCCTCCTTTTTCAGCTTCTTCTCCTCGGCCTGCGCTTTGCCCAGCTCTGCTTTGGCGTCATCGGTCGATGAAATAGTCAGCTCTTGTATTTTCTTCTGTGCCTCCGCCAGCTTACGCCGACATTCGACATGTGCCTTCTTCAAGTCTTCGCCTTTTTTCTCAAAATCTTCCATTCGCTCCACACGAGCCTGAAAGAACAAATATGAATACAGTCGCATATCAGTCCCAACAACAGATGCAGAAGCAGGTGGTAGAAGGCGGAGGATGGCCACCAAAAATAACTTATTTTATTTCAATCTAAATTTAATTAGAGGATAAACCACTTGAAATGCACCAGCTCGTTATAGGGGGGACCTCAGGCACTAAACATGGACGTTAACAAACATTTAAGCACATAAATAATGATAATAATACAAATAGAGAAAAGTAAAGATCCTAAAATGCATCCTTATGGTTCACCCTTAACAGTTTAATGAGGGATCTTAATCTTCAAGTGAACAGCAACCTGAAAGCTGGAGAGTTGTTACCCACTCCACTGTGACCATCTCATCACTGGTACACAGCCCCGCAGTGAGCACAGGAAACACTGACCAGCTAAAGGTTACAGTACAACATATATTTAAACGTGTACCTGGTGTCTCCATCTGAAGAGGCTGGGTGTGTCGATGTTGGGGTGGATGTCATCTTCATCGTCTGACACCTCGATGTGGTCCCACACGCTGTAGTCTATTCTCGACATGACGTTAGAGCCTCACAGCGTTAGCTCCGGAGATGACTCGGCTAACGTGAAGTTAGTGCGCTAAACGAGGAGAACCGGGACCTCCGACCTACAAAAGGCAGATAACACACAAACTACGCACTTTTTTCCAGATACGTGTGTTAGTCTTCAACGCGGCGGCCGGCTGTGTTCAAGCCCAGATAAACTTCGATAGACCGACCTGGAGCGGGCTAGCGACAAACGGCTTCAGATTTTCTAGAAAGAATTGCAGCTGCAAATTTCCGTTTGACGTGAGTGCGTCATTACGTCACACGGACGAAGGACACCGGAAAACAGAAAAGATGAGCTTCTGTTTTTCTGCATCGGTGGCTGTGGATTTGCCTGAATCAACCGTTTATTAACATAACAAACATTAATTAATTCAACATACGTGATATATCTTTGTAAATTATGTTTAAAAAAATAATCATTTGTTTTTTGTTCTCACCTTTTTTATGTGTGTGTTTTCCAAAACCTCCCTGGCATATATATATATATATATATGCATGCAGTAATAGGCCTATAATTAAACTAATGCAGTAATAGGCCTATAACAAAAGTTCACAATTCTATCAAAAACGAATCACAGTTTTTTTCCCTCCATCTGGCAACAGCTATATAAAAAACGGTTTCTCTCTTATGTTCCACTGTTTAAACTTTAATTATTTTAAATTTGCGTTTGAACTGCTTCAGGGTGCAATAGTAAACATTGTACTGTGTGCAATGTGTAGTCTGATTCATGCAAATGTGTAAATGAAATACTTGCAGTATGCAGTAATATATATTTATAGTTTATTAAACATTTGAAAGAAAGTCAATTTGGCCTCTTTCCTCAAGTTTATGGATTTTAATTTTTTTTGGAAATGTGGCTGTTGAAAATAACTCTTTAAGGACAGCACATTGACCAATAAATAATGAAACGGTACATAGGCAAGTCAAGCAATCAAGGGCTTCTTTCTAATACATGAGGCGTATGTGGCCTGACATACAGCCATCACACAGAGAGAACGTCACTGTAGAAGAGAGATGTACCCTACAGTCTATCTAATGGAAACTAATTCAGTAGACACAGAGCTCAATGCTGATCAAACCTAGAGAAACAACGTTTCATGCACACGATGAGGTGTTACATTCCCTGTCCAGGTAAGCTAAGTTTGATGTGTACAAAGCTGAAATTGCTTTTTTTTTTTAAAGCCAAACTCAATGTATTGCTAAATTATATTCTTGTGTTGAGCAAATCTTTATCTAAAGTCTTTGGGTCTAACCAGCCAAATAATCTAAATCTCGTGTGTGGGTTCACCATGAGTGAACTCTAACAGTCACATCTGCAATATGTCTCAGTATCTCAGTGCTGACATGCACGAACATGTGGCTCATACTTCATCACATGGTGTGGACACAATGACATGAAAAGACACAGAAAACGATTCCCTTTAATAAATACATGATTCATCTTACGCTGTAATGCCACGGAAGTGTGACATTTTGTCAAACTGTCAAATACAGGTGTAGTTGATAACATATACTTCATATACTATGGGCTGTTTGTGTGCCAACTGCAGGATCCATAGAACCAATATGCCTTTCTGCAATGACATGTGAAGATGTCTGCTACACAACGAAGTAAGGCCTGTTACACTGTTACAGTCAATAACACATTGATACAATGTCCCTTTCCTCCATTGTTCCCATCAACAGCTACGGGCTAAAGGGAGCTATTTGTTACTTTTGCTCTCCGTGGGTTTGGAGTCCTTGAACCCGGAGCAGCAGATGGAGGTTCCCGCATGAGAGTCGCAGCACCGCCGCATGTCCCTGATCACGTGCGCACACATGCTCTCCACGTATCTGTTGGCTGCAGGACGAGGACCACAGGGAGGGGAGAGGGGGGGTTTAGCTAAACGACACATGCAGGATTTGCTTCAGCAACATCTTTGAAGTGACTGCTGTATGTACCTTGTAGACACTGTTGTATTGCGCAGGCTTGCTTTTGACACGGGTCTTTCTGTGGCATCCCTGAAAGGGAACAGAGAGGGACAGCATTCAGAAGTGTGTCAATAAACATCAGGCACTGCGTCACTGCGGACCGACTCCCACCTGTATCGACCGATCAATCGATCAGGATAGTCGGTGAGGTCTCAGGTTAGAGGTCGTCTGCTGCTGGTGTTAGCCGCGCGCGGAGCTAACGCTACTTCCTCCTGCGACTGCGAGGCAATGTTTTGATCACGTGACGTGCAGATAGCCAATTAAGTCATCTCTTTAAAAAAGTGCAGCAGCGACATCTGGTGGCGCGAGGTGAGTACAACACAAATGGCAGATATGAATAAACAGTAACTTTAAATATTGTCTCGTTATTGTTCGTTTTTAATACAAATCCCCCTAATATAAGAAACTGATGAGAAACTGCAACCAAAATAATAATTACAAATTAATTTAATTTTAAAATACAAACAAAGTCTTCACATGTTATTGTCATGCACTTTTATTTGTGTGATACTTTTGCAGCCCTCACACCCAGCAGCAACAAACAATTAATGCAATTTAATGTAATTATAATATAATAAAGTAAATAAGTGAGAAAACTTTTTTCATTTTACTTTTATTAATAAAGATAAGAAAATCAAGAAACAGTTCATATTTACAGTAATGGCCTGCTGATCTTTAACATTCGGAATTAAACTTTCAGCAAAAAATTATGATAATGTAGTCATCATTGCTATATCAAGAGTAGCTATCATAATGTTACAAGATAATTTCATTAATATGAAAATAATTCTAGAAAAATATAAACTAGGGACAGGGTATCACAAAGGAACTATTTCACCAATCTATCGCACAGAAAACATGTTAAAATACTGACAAATTAAATGACAGTTACCAAACATAGTATATTCAAATATATATATATTTTTTAAATGACATCTAATTCTGTCTGACAGCAAGATCCTCATAAATATCTGTTGAGTCATTGTCATTTCCGTCTCCAAAGCTGCAGCAGTAAAATCCGCTTAGTTAGAATCCTTGTATGTCCAATGTGGTCATCTGATCCAATCTCAAGATGTCTGGTTTCAAGCACCTGAGTAGAAGCACAAGATTAGGACGCGGTGTAAAGAGACAACATGTGCACCTCAGAGTCCCCTCATTTACCTTTGGTCTTGGCTTTGACAACAAACTGCTTGCTCTTCTTCTCCAGTGTGTTGGAGGCAGTGCAGGTGTAGGTCCCTGGGAGCAGTGAGGGGGAGGTGAGAGCTGCTTCATCCTCCATCCTCTCTTCATTGGGATTGGAGGATTGCCAGCTGTACACGGGTGTGGGGTTTCCTGTGGCCGTGCAGTTCAAGGTAATTTCAGCCCCCACTACAAGGTCCAAAACCTCGGGTTCGGGACTGAGGAACATCGGGGGAACTACAGCAAACATCACAGGGGTTAGATGCACCATGGTCAATATTTCTAACACATGAGAACTCTTTCAGATTAGCTTCATGACTTACAGTACACAGAGGCATTAAGAGGCTCCGAGGTCACAGTAGGAGGCGGTCGTGGTCCCTCTGGTCCGAGCTCCAGCTCCGCTACGCACCTGTACTGTGCTCCATTCTCGGCTTTGGTTGGTGTGACCATGAGGACGGAGGACACTTGGACAGGCGAGGAGGATGTGAGTTCGGTGAAGGAGTGGTTGTAAACCTCAGTCTGGCCCTTGTACCACCTCAGGGTGAGGTACTGGACCGGAGCGATGTTCTGAACTTCACAGAGCAGCTGGTACTCTTTCCCCTCCACCATGGGGCCGGTGTGGTTCACAGGCCGGATGGAGACGCTATCAGGGGTCTCTAAATGAATAATACACGAGGTTCATGTCAAACAGGTTTGAGTCGTCCATTTCTACACTGTGTATCAAAACTAGGGATGCACCGACACTGATACGGATATCTGGCCGATACTGACTCAAATAGCTGGATCAGGTTTCGGTGACAATGGGGTCAATCTATTTAATTTAATTCTGCGTTTTTATACTGTATCACACAGTCTATTGGTTTTGTGTTGAGGGACAGAAATTGTCCGATTTTTTCGTATCACTTGGACCTTTTTTGGGGACATTAGTACGTTAGAAAACAAAAGTTAGGTTTAAGCAACAAAAACAGTTACATTTAGAAAAAACGTCACAAATGTTAGATTTAGGCAACAAAACCACAACACTTTGGGACACAAGGGGACGATATGTGAAGTGAGCTAAAAAAAATACATTTGAAAAACTCAACAACAATGTGCCTCTCCAGAAACCATGACCTACTTTCTCAAGATAATCCACAAACTCCTGTTGTTTCAAGGCAACGTTGTTTTTTTAATCGCGGTTGAACTATCCCTTTAAATTTTAACCAATTTGTTTCTGCATTAAAAAAAATTATACTTTAAATGTTAATTTTGAAGATTTTTTACCAAGTTGCAGGTGCACGATTTAATATTTTAATAATACTTAATACCAATTCTGTAAATGTATATTGTATTGATTTTGTATTTATTTGTTTTACAAAGTTCTGAAAGCAATTTTTGAGTCTGATGTCTCTCACATGAGAGAATGACCCCAGTCTCTTCCACACAGAGAGGCACACAGCTTATTATTATTATTGTATGGATCGGTACTCGGTATCCACAGGTATGGGTCTAGATATCGGTATCGGGACTGAACAAGTCGGATCGGTGCATCCCTAAAGCTGGAGTTAACTCACTGTAGAGGACCAGGTTGAGTTTCTCCTCACACTGTCTGGGGTCCGTGAAAAACACCCCGTAACAGATGGGCTCCTCGATCCAGTCGATGAGGCTGTCCACCTTCCACTGGACCGACAGCTCCTGCTGAGTGTGAGCGGCGCTGATGGCCGATTCCCAACCGAGGACACGAACCGGGCGAGCAGCTTCACAGCTGACTGACACCGGCTCCCCAAAGCCCACCACGACCCGGGAGGGCTTGAGGATCAGGGAGCAGCCTTCACCTGACACTGAAACACACGGCAGCAGTCATCATCATCATCATCATCATCATCATCATCATCATCATCATCCCCTTCCTTCTACTTGTGGCACTTTCATTTTTAGTACAAAAACAAGCTTTAGCTGTTATGTAACCCTGTTAACACACACACACAGAAATCACATCGGGAATTGGCTAAAATACGCCTGTACATTATAATTCATTGATCAGTTGTTTCTATTTATTGCAACAAAATGTGTGGCCCATTTAATCTGTAAAGAATTAGACCTAACTTATAATTATATTTGTAGAATATAGTGAAGCCATGCAAACACAAACAGGCATATTTTATGCTGCAACGATCTACAACAGTGCTTTAAAGGACAAATAAACCAAAGCTTTTTCTTATTATTAAAGGTCCAGTCGTCCTCATATTCACATATTATCACCGACTAAAGGTCAGTTTGCCTGCTACACCACATTTTTTCACAAGCCCCTCTCATAATCTGTCAACAAGTGAGAGAAACAAATAGATCTTACCGAAGTAAAACATGCAAAGCGTCAGGATCCATTTGAGAAAGTTGATTCCCATGTTATTTTCTGCACTGAGCCGTCGATGGAGGAGAGAGAGAGAGAGAATTCTAACTTGAACAAGCTTGGCAACTCTGCAGGGAACTATGTTGGAACAAAAGGGCCCCCTTCATCTCAGCTGACTTTGGGGGGAGGGGGAGGGGTGGTGTAAAGGGAGAGAGGGAAATTGAACAGGTGGCAGGCCTTTTGAAAAACACAGCTGATCCCTTTGCAATGCTCTGGTCTTCAGGAAATCAGGACGTAAGACTAATACATTCTCCATTTTCAGCATGCAAGCACATGTGGAATAATTGAGATGTCTTACCATTTATGCACACGGGAGGAGTTTGCATTCAGGGCCAGACGTCTCCTGAGGTTCAGGCAGCTAACCTTTGTGGTTAGGTTCAGGAACAGATCATGTTTTGGGTTAAACTAAATATTTTTCCGCAACTTCTCCCGTGTGCAGAATTCAAGGCAAGTTCAAATCAAACTACCTCTGAAGCCCAAATGTTCCCTTGTCCTCTACACTGAAAGACTCGTGTAAATATAAATCTGGTCTTCGTTAGTGTGACCGTGTTATGCTTTAAACCATCTGCCATCATCTGTGTGGTTCTGCTTGCATGCTCGTCTCCTGTTGCTCCTGAACTCTTTGTGGAGTCCCAGCAGGCAGGAGTGTTGGTGCAGCATGTAGCTTGTAAGTCTCACACTGTGACCAGAATGCTACACAGCGTAACCGCTCTGACCGCAACTGCAGAGCAAGAGAGCAAGGAATCGGATGCTTCAATTATTCATGGGATTCATGGAGAGCACAGCTCAATGTACTGATTCATGCTCGAATATGATGCTGTCTCTTCAACAAAACATATGTTCAGCTCTATAATAAATCTTATTTAACTCCATGACACATTGAGCAACATCCACTCTGCCAGGTTGTTATGGCAACACAGTCTGAGCATACACAAACAGAGCTTCAGTGAGAATGAACATAAAGAACATGGCTTCATATGGGCAGGATGCAAATGCTCCCCTTTACAGTCACTTTGTGCAGGACTAATTAGTATGGCAGCCTCAGCACGGTATAATGTAAGGCAGGTTGAAAGAGGGAGAGAGAGGGAGAGAGAGAGAGAGAGAGGGAGAGGGAGAGAGAGAGAGGGAGGGAGGGAGAGAGAGAGAGGGAGTGAGAGGGAGAGATTAATGAAAGACGCTGGTTTGAGCGCCTCGATCAGTATTCTGTTGAAGGATGATCACTGACAGAGAAGTTGACACAAGCTGCTCATGCAGAACAGACATTAACACTTTAACTTTCTCTTTGAAACACTTTCTCTCATTCTAACTTTACTTCCTCAATTAAGGGGAGGAACTTGAAGTAAGCAAAACATTTAGATATCACCATAAAACTTCCCCATGTCAACATGGGGAAGTTATTGACATTAACAAAAAATCCTGTTTCATTTTGTTTATGTATTAGAGGCAAAGGGTTTTACTGGGGGGATTTTAGATATCTATATTTATCACTCCATAAATCATACCATACAATCAACCATAAAATAAAAATCTATTTTTTCCATATTTTAGAAATAAAATGTTTTCTAAATCAGGCTATGGATGCTATCTGAACAAACCGCTGAGTAAAAACCTTCAGACTATAGAGAGGAATAAACGGAGGTTTGGTGAATGTAAGAGCTGAAGTGGAGATGTCTGCTCAGTCTGATAACAAAAAGTAATTTAGAGAAAATATATATATATTGTAAAGTTCCATACATTTTGAAGATACTGTGGATAAGGTAACTTCTACAGTCTATTACTGACATTAAGACAATTCTTTTTTGTTTTACAAGTTTTCTGAGACGTTAGTTTTAAATATGCTAATGAGGCATCTAATGGTAACTTTGGGTGAATTTAGGAGAAATCTGCAGACGCAAATAGACAAAGAAATAAACACCATAATGTGTATTTTGGATGTTATCTTTCTACTAGTCTGAAGACATGTGATGGAAGCCAAATAGGTAAAAATCTCAAAAGTGATCAGTGCATGAAAAACAATGTTTTTATAGTGTCTCCACTTAATTCATCTTTCACAAGAACAAAGGTTTACAAATGGAAGTCAGCATTGTGCACGTTCTTTTACTGGTACATCAGACAGACTTTACGTCTAACAGACTTTAGTGGCTCACATTCAGGTCATCGTCAATAAGACCAAACTCATATGAAATTGTAGGCACATCAGAGAATTGGCATGGTCAGTCTTTTCAGTGCAAAAAACAAATTCAACATTCCAGAGCTGAACCATCGCATATTAAAAAAATAATAATTTGGTAAAATGTTTACAGAACATGAATGTATTCATACAATAATCGAAACTAGCAGTATCTACATCGTACCCCATTGCAGTGTTCAAAGCACTCTCAAGTAATTAACTGTATCGTAGTGTCTGGAAAGTATGCGGAGAGAAACTGAATCAAAATATTCCTGAGTGGATTAAACACAACTTAAGGTTCACCTTAAAACGTGGTCGTTTGTGGCTTTGCAGAATGAATGAAAATGACAACATTAGAATTCCAGCAACAAAGTAGCAATGTCTGTCACCAGCAATCATCAGACAGTCTTACAAGTAATAAAAATAGAGTTGTTTCAGAGCACAGCTACTGACTGACCTAAGGCACACAAAACATTCACTTTTTGGCTACTTGGGGGCAGCAGAACGGACAAACCCACTGGGCCTGACCTATTATGGCTTTAAATACGTTAAATACGTATTCTGCTTTCAGCTTTGTTTTAGTCTGTACAGTCCTCAGAAAAATATTAGTGTTCACATGTTCAAAAGTACATCCCCATCTCGTCCCTTTGGTAGCAGTGAGTTTATCAGAACTGATAGACTGAACTATACAGGCCATAAACCCAAAGCATGGAGCTAAAATAAGTCCTCTTTGCAGCTGTTGATGCTCTCCGGTTCAACGGTGATTAGATTCAGTCAGTGCGTCTGCATGCACCGAAGTAACCGGCTTACAGTCAGCTTGTTACACGAGGACATGCAGGACTCGGCGTCGCTGTGACAGCAGAGCGGTGGGATGAGAGGAGAGGTAACAACATGGACCGATGACAGCCCCGTTTCCTAAATGTTATGTTCCCATACAACCAAACTGCATTATGAATTACGCTTCAAGGAAAATGGGTTTTTGGTGTGGATTACGTTTGCTTTTGACGAATCACAAATAAGTTTCAAATTGGAAATAAGTCGGTGTGATTTGTGTCGCATATGAACCAAGAACTTTTGCTGTGTTTTCGTTTTGTTTTATTTCATTTTCATCATCATTTTAAGCCAAACCATGATGCTTTTTACTAAACTTAAGCAAGTAGTTTTGTATTGTTTTCTGCTTTGTTTCAATTCACGTTAACTACATGTTTTAAACTGTTTTAAACTGCGAACGGGAGAAAATACGTCTCCATCAAAAACGTAATTGAGATTGCAATTTAGTTTTACAGGAACCAGGTTGACTGATGTATATATAGAAAATAATTCCATCCAAAGTCAGACTGAAAGTAACACAACGTAGCCTCTTGAGCTGTGAATATGCAGGTCTACTACACTTCCAAAATAAGGTGAGGGGTCGGGGAGTAATCCGATTACTGACCTGCTGCACGTGGAAGCAGATTTACAGTGCTCGTTCTCCGATCGACTGCATAACCCGATTGCTTGAGTGAATGTAAATGTACCGTTTGTTAATATAACATGATTAGTTAAGCTGATGGGATTATGCAACAGTGACCAAACATGCAGCAGTCCAGCAATCGAGCATGCAGAACAGATCACGCCTCCAGGCTTTTAAAAAGACATGATTCTCATATGTTCATCAAAGCACCAAAATAAAACATTACAACATGCTAAAGCCACTCAAAATTGAATTTAAAAAAAGTCAAACTCATATGGGTCCCGATGAGGTGGGCCGTCCTTAGAGATAGCTGCCTCTGCCTAAAGAAAAGGTGCCTTCGGGTGTCACCAAAAAAAGACCGGCAATGATGATCACGACTCCCAGGAACACAAATCCTCCAACCAAGGCTCCAAAGGTTGTGCGATTCCCTGCGGGAGATGGGAGAGTTTTTGTTACATCCTCTCCTTCTTTCTCTCAGCTCAGCTGTTCAGACCTTGAAACAGAAGAGTTTTGCGGTTTGTGATAAACCACGCATGCCAAAACAACGATTAAAACTAAGAACACAGCCATTAAAATCCCAGCAGTGGTTCCAGGGTGACTACCTGATGGAAAATAGAATGAAGGAATTATAGAATAATCAACACGGCGAGACATTAATGGAGCAGAACAAGATGAGGAGGACTTTTATAACAATATCTTACTTGTAGCTTCGGTGACAGTGAAATATTTGGCCTTGGAGCCCTGGCTGTTAGACGCTGTGCACCGATAGGTGCCTGGAAGCTGAATGGACGGGGCCAAAGAGGATTGGTTCTCATTTTGATTGGTCTGTTGTATGGAGTGTGGGAACTGCCAGCTGTAAACCGGCGTTGGTTTTCCTGCAGCAGCGCAATCTAAAGTGAATTTACCGCCAGCAGGGAGCTCCAGCGTCACATTTTCGGGCTCCATGAAGGTCGGCGAGTCTGAGGAAATGAGAAAAATACAATAAAAAACAAAGAATAATTCAAACGCAATCAGAGAAAGGCAAAACACACCCAATCTCCTCTACCAACTGTGATGGTAAACTCAAGATGCCATTTAAAACGTACACAGCACAATCACGTCACGTGACTCCGACTTGATCGTGGTCAGATTTGGTACTGGTCCCCAGAAGTCCAGCTGTGCTTCACACCAGATTTGAGTTCCATCATCGCCCCTTTGGGCCGTCAGGTCGAAGACAGACGTGACGTTGACTGGAGATGTACTGGAGCCGTCAAACCTCTCCGTGTAGGAGATGGTATCTCCTTTGTGCCAGTGCACAGAGAGGTTGCTTACTGGTGCCACATTAACAATGTCACACTGTATGCTGTACTGGTCGCCCTCTACCAGGGGGCCCTCTAGACTTGGCTGAGAGATGGACACCCTGTCCGGCATTTCTGCACACAAAAAAACAAATAAAATCCAACATCAGAAGTATCGACTGATCCAAATCTACCAGGAGTCTGCTTGGCCACGTCAAGGTAAAGGATACTTACTGTAAACGGTGACTGAAAGCGTTTCTAAACACTGACCATCAATGACACGATTAATGTAGCAGATGGGTCCGATGTTCCAGTCTCTCGCAGACTCTATCGTTATGTTAACATAAGAGAGGCCTTCAGTCTTTGCGCTGCCGTACATAGTCTCCAAGCCCATCGACTCGATCTGGTCAGATGATGAGCTGCAGTTGACCGAGAAGGAGTCTCCAAATCTCACCACAACGCTCGGGGGGCTCATCTGGACGGGACAGGACGAGCTCACGGGCTGCCCTGGGGGTACACACAGCGTATCACAGCTTACAGCACAAGAAGCTTTCAGCAAAACACAGTTTTATACGTCATTGTTGGATTGGATGGGACACTTTGACTGGTTTACAGAGCGTTCACCAGTTAAAACAGCAGTTCAATGATTACACATATTGATAGAAAATATAAAACTAAGGCTAAATGCATGTTTTTTTAAACTGGAAAACAATCTGTGGGACCTTGCTCTTCCTTGAGCAATCATATATGTTCTGGTTTACTACAAATCCCATGTATTGTGTGCTGCTGCTGCTCTCTTGTGGAAGAATGGGATTTGGGATATTGACTTGCAAATGATCTATAAAAACATGAGTTCATATTGATCCCCGCCAGTGAGAAAAGCAACCGAAAGCATAACCATCAGGTTTGAGCAAAATATATCCGACAAAGGGCGTCGACGCTGTAACGTTCAGACTGTTGACACTCATTAGATGTGACTTCCCTTGTAACGTTAATAAATTAACACAGCGAATAGTTACCTGCACACGCTATAACGCCGCTCAATATGAAGAACCACCTCATGATTTGGACGGTGCGTTAACCACAAAGTTAACCAAAAAAACACCTTTACGACTTTAAATGGTCCCGGTGACCAACTCCTCTGCAGCTGCAGTACTTTTCCTTTCACCTGGAGGAACGTCACGACAGAAACGCGATCCCTGTGAGGCGTTCACGTGCTCCCCTTAAACGCGTTCCCACAATCCCCACGCCTAGAAAGTCACATCCAGTAACTGGAATATCAACTCCTCTCTTTACTGAATAGAAAGAAGTTTTGTTGTATTTTCTGTGATTGCCATATGTCCGAGGGCACCGGAAGGCAGCATACATACAGTCCAGCAGCTCATACAACCTGCTGTTTGTGGTTGACAGCACCCTCTCGAGGAGCAGGACCATCACAACACAAGGAGTAGGGCGGGTTTCTCTCTTGTGTGGTACCAAATTGCCAAACAGGCCCATTGATTTAGGATTTGTCTCTGAAAGATCAAACCTGTCTGCTGGATGGGAATCTGAATTTTTGCCTTGATGTTTTTGGTGCATACAATATACAAGATGTACTAGGAGGAAACAAAAATACAGGCAAACTACTGCAAAAGTAAACTTAAATAGAAAAATTCTCTCAAGAAAGAAATCTAAATTCTGTGCTCTGATGTGGATTTACCAGGCAAGAAGTTTATTAGCAGCGCATTATCATAGTCTTGTGTTTCGGATCTAACATTTATTCACATCAGACATATTCAGGCCTGCTGTAAGGTAAAAAACAACAACAAAGCAATCAGTTTGAAAAGCCACGATTTTTAATACTAAAATACAGTTTTACATCAGTCTCAAATATTTACAGCTGTATTCACAAATGTGTTACAATATCTTCATGTCCCCAACATTCTAGACAGGACTCAAACTCCCCCTAAACAACCTGTCTGCAGTCCATTTAACGCCAAGTTGTTCCATCTTTCTCGTTTCTCATAAATAAATAAGGATTTGCATTTACATTAAATGTCCTCCTGAATATGCAGTTCTGATAGGCCTTCATACAAAAACATACAACTGTGGGACAAGACCATTTGTCCCATAAGGCCGGAGCAACAAAAAGAGGTGCAAAGAATAGTGAAGGGCTCCATGAAAAGTATGCACGAGTCACAGTGTCCACAGACTGAGCAGAGTCCATGTCACACCTTCGGAGAGGCCAGACGTGGTGCACTTCCTGTTAGTGCGACTGTTAAAACAGAGCAGTTTCTCAAATCATGTTCGCTGTGTAAAAATAAGAACATACAGAGATCTACGTTTGAGAGAATATTAAGGGGGCATAATAAAAACTCAAGCATTGGTGAATGAACGAAAACATTCATATTGAATTAAGCTGCAGGGATGACGTGTAGGCCAACAGGAAGTTAGCGTCACACTGAAATGTTTCCATTCCACTTCCATTATTGCAGAAAAATGTAATCTCTGGCAAACAAACTTTTATGATCCTTTTATGGTTTGTTCAGTAAGATAATCTTCACATGAACACCACTTTCGTCATTTTTGAAGCGTGACTGCAATCGCCAGAAGCAAAAAGCTAACGTCATAACGCTATAAGCTAACAACACCACGGTCACATGACTTCACGTCGTCACCACCACGAAGCTAAAGGATGACTCGTGTTCCAGTGATGACGATTAGTAGTCTCATTTACTTCAGCTACTTGTTAGCAAACAACCTTTTTTATGACTTGTAAAAGCTTCAAAATTCTTCGAGATGAGAGAACCGGACGAGCAAAAATGCTGACTCGTTTTAGGACTCAAACCTGCAGCGCGCTATTATCTTTGTGCTCATGAAAATATATCAAAACCGTTTCTCTGGCCTTTCAGAGCCAAAGTTTAAGTCCCTGCTCCTCCTCGTCTTTCTGTCCAGTGAAAACAGGTCAAATATAAAATGGTACATCTCAAGCCAAGGTTGCTCATTCCTATAATAAGATTATTCCATGAAAAGGTAAAAATACTGTTTCATGTGTGATGTCAGCGTGGTCGGGCTTTGTGGTTTGTGGTGGCAGAGAGATGCGGCTCATTCAGAGTGGTCAGCGATCCATCCCGGGCTCTCCTCAGATGTCCTGCTAAGACAGTTTGGTCATAGGAAACTGCATGTCCCAGCCGTTGTGGGCTACGTTGCTACTGGGGGCCTCCAGTTTGGGGTTCTTAAGGCTGTAACGGCGCATCTTGGTGTTTTTGTAGTAGATTGAGTAGATGAAGAGGAAGACGACGGAGATGGCGACTACTGTGACAGCCACGAATCCAGCTATGAGGGGAAGGTAGTCCTCTGTGGAGAAATCAACACGGGCAGCATGTTAATGTTTAAGAATGTTTAAGAATGTCAAAATAAACTGTGTCATGCTTCATTACATTTATGTGAACTTTCAGTCCTAAAATTCAGTTGTTTAGATTTTCTACTGCAGCATCGATGAAGATGAACTTTACTATTTGGATGCAGAAAAAAAAGAAAATCATCAAAAAGCTTTCTAATTATTTTAACATATGACTTATGATCAGTCAGTTGAAGGCTACTTGTATTTGTATAATAAAAACACGGAATCCCCTCTTATTATTACATCTGACAACAGAAAAGAAGTCCCCGTATAAAAAGAAGCTTTTTCAACAAAACTTACCTAAACCTCCAACCATTCCAGCGGCCTGTTTGTTTCTGTCTTTGTATGCAAACCGCTCAAAGAAATCACAGAGCGGCAGCTTCCGTTATGAAATAAATTGATATTGCCGGATAGAATCCTCCTCGCAGCAGTTTGTCTCCGCTTCTTAATGGAATACTTCCCCCGTAAAACGACCATTTCAACATCAATTACTAACCCCATGTTACCTTGAATTCTTGAAGAAAATTTTGTTTTTCTCACAGAATCAAAAAACAAAAAAGTCTTAATGAATTGAAGTAACTGGGGGCCGAGTTTAACAAACGCAAAGTTAAATAAAAGCACATGCTTCTTTGCTAAAAACAGGCTAATACCTGCAGACATGCTCCTGTCTGCTACTCGTCCGTGCAAGTCCAAAGTGTTTGAGATAGTGAGGTTTAAGTAGAGACGCACGTGTTTGTGAGGCAGTGAGCACATAACGAGATAAATGGCACCTAGGTTGTTATGCGCAAGTTGTGTGTGAGTTTGTAGACGGATGTTTTGATGTAGTTTTGCCGTTTTTTGAGACAGGTTTTCTTCAGGAATTAAAAGGTAACACGAGGTGAGTATTTAATATACAAATAGTCATTCCTTGGGTAAAGTATTCCCTTTCTACTTATGATGAGATATATTTAGGCTGCCCAGAGCACAGTTAATTCCTTATAGCGTTTGTATAAAGGCGAGCAGAGCAGAGTGTATAGTTCCTGGCTTCAACAAAGCAAGTCATCTGTTTTCACCACTGGGGCACTTTGTATATTTAGAAAAGAGTTCTATTTGACATTTTTGCAGGAAGACGTGTCTATTTTCTTCTAAAAAGGACACAAAGCCGTTTAGATTGAGTGTTGTTACCTTTTAAAATCACGTTGACCTCGTGGTAGATGGAATCAACCTCATTGGTGGCGTTGCAGCTGTAGACGCCGGGCTCGGACACGGTGAGCGTGTCTCCGGACACGTGGGGAACTTTGTCTGAGCTGTAGAGCCACTGGATCTTTGGAGGCGGGTTACCGTCGGCTTCACAGACCAGCTCCTCAGGATAACCTCTGAACACGGGGATCGCCTTTGGAAGCTTTGTGGTATTAATGACGGGCTTATCTGTTGAGATATAAAGCAGTGTAATAGTTTTACAATGTCCCACTGTCAGGACAACAACAAGCTCTTTCTTATTACTGCAGTAGTGCTGTCTACACACGATATAAGTGTGATCTCACAGTAGACGGTGACGTTGAGAGGACTGGACATCATCTTCGGAGGAGGCCGCGGTCCCGCAGGTCCGAGATCCAACTGAGCCTCACATCTGAACTCTACGCCGGTGTCGTTTCTGTAAAGAGTGACGCTGATGGTGGACGACATGTTCAGCGCGGAGCGGACGACACTCAGGTCACACTTTGTGTCGTTCTCAGGCAGGCAGCCGGTCACTCGCAGGGGGCCTGATGGACAAATTCACATTTTGGAGTTTTTGGTGTTACATTTTACTGGTTTAATGAGCAATAGCAGATCAAAAAAAGGAAATCAAGCATCATTAGGATAACAATTAACATTAACTTCAAATGTTCACACTTCATTTGAACTTATCTACAGTTTATCATCTCAATGAATGAAAAGTCCCAATGTGTCTTCCATAATTGTTCCTTTTATCGGATGCTGGATATTTATTACATGTCTGTTGGTGCTGTATCGCTTTGAGCACCGGTAGATCTCACAGAAAAGGTAGACCTGGTGTTAAGAAAGACCCCTCACCTTTGCTAAGTGGCTCGAAGGTTTCATTCCCTCGGTACCAACGCACAGCGACGCTTCCTGCAGGAGCAACGCTGGTAACGTCACACCTCAGCTGGAACTCTCTCTCCTCCACCACTGAGCTCAAGTTATCCACAGGACGGATGGAGATGCTGTCCGGTGTTTCTGAAGAGATGGGGGGGGGAATAAAGAATCAGTATAGTTCCAACATCTGAGAAACACTTGATGACAGTGCGAGTACAAAAGTTAGAAATACATACTGTAGAGGGTGTAGTTTAAATGTTTCTGGCATGTTCCTTTGACTTTAAACGTCGCAGTGCAAACAGGCTTCAGGTCCCAGTCTTCAGAGTCATAACTAGACCAAGTTGTGCCGTTAGTTCTGGCACCCTGCCAGTATATGTCACGGAGATGTGTGGAGGCACTGGGTGTTGGTGTGCATATCGCACGCTGCAGGCCTCTGCCCTTGTATGGCACCACCATCCTGTCTGGAGTTATCTCGATGGGGCATTCTGGGCTGGCACCTGTGGAGCGGAGAGAGAGAGGGGGCACGAGAAATGTTATTCTCCGGTCAACGTCTACACACGTCCGTTATCTTGACACAACATTTTCCTCTCACCCAAATGGCAAACAAAAACCATGTCTAAGGAGGAAACAGGAAAAGCCTCAGGAAGGATACACCCACTCCCTTAAGGAAAGTCTGCACTTGCAGCCCACCATTCTTTGTGCTGGACTTTAACTGTAACGCCAATACCTCAGTTGAATGCGTCACATTCCACCAAGCCCATTCCCAGCTAACAGTAACCACAACTCAAAAAAGATAGGCGACTGTTTTATCAGAAAACTGTAATACACTCAGGATGTGAGGAGGTATTAATGATGGGCTTAGCTGTTAGATAAACACAACGCTCATCAATAATCAGACCACCAAAGTACTATTTCCCATTAGCATTCACACACTAACAGTTGTGTCCATTCAGAGCACATGCAGCTCACACAACACACTCTTAACTTCATTAAACTTTACTGTGTTGCTTTAAATTGCCTCCCCATCATCACTCAGCACGCTACATAAACCTTAAAGGTCTATGAGCCCAAACGAGCCATTTCAGTCTCACACAAAAGAAAACATGAGGTCCAGCCTCTCAACTCACTCGGTGCTGTCCCGTTACACAGCGACAGCAGCTGTACAGTCAAAAGGACAGAAAGCAGACGAAGAGAGTTCAAAACATCCATTGAAGTCGCGTTAAAGTTTGTCCGACGACAGCTGTCGACCTTCTTCTGTTACACCGAGCGCCTCTGAGGTTTCTCCTGCTTCCTTCCTCCCCTCGGCTACATGGGACTTGTTGACTTTTTGGGAGAAAGCTAAAGCTAAAGCTACGGCTGCACCACAGAACAGCTCCCAGCGAGTCTCCACTACATCACCGGGGAGGAAACGGCCCTCCCCCGACACACACACACACACACACACACACACACACACACACACCCTCTGTGCCTATAAATGTCGCTATCGTTGGGCCAGTTGGACTCAAGTCAGACGTCAGGCCGGGGACCGTTATATGAAGCCAATTTACCAAATAAACCTGAATAGACCGTATATAAGAAGGGTTATAACCTAAGATAACTATTTATTTAATTTATCTAAAAGAACCATTGTGTCGAGAAAGAGCATCTATATCAATTTGTGATGTGAGTCTATTGAAATTATGCAAAGTAGGGCTACTTACATAAATCAATTTAAGAACATGTATAAAGTTTGTTTTTGAGAGGTGTGGGGATGAGGAATGGGGCCTTGTCTCTCTGGGGACTGTTGTTGATATTGTTATTGTTTTGCTATTACTTGTTACATGTTCAAATTTAAAGGTAAAACAAAATAGACAGACAGTAGGTGGCATATCGGGGCCAGAGTCCCCATCATATTATTACAGGATCCCCTTGTCAAGTGAGTTTAGGTGTCTTGGTGGAAAATTAAAATTTGGTAAAGTTTCATTGGAGACTTTGGTTTGAAGAAAAACATCCCTGAAGGTGAAATCTACTATCGTTGTCAGAGAAGACTTCGGCAGCACTTAACAGTCTTATTAAATTCTTTATTCCATGTCCTGTATCGGTGCGCCATTGAGTTCTTGAAGGGGAGTTCATTTTCATTTTCCTATAAAGTTTGGTCGTGCCTATTCAACAGCATACTTTTTATCATAAAGGTAATAAGAGTGAGTATTAGAAGTCAGGTCATTTTAAAATCACATCATACATACTCTTTCAACAACAATCCACAGCACTGCATCCCCCAGTTGGACTGTAGTGAGCAGACACACAAGCTCTTTAAAGTAGTGCCGCTGATCACATTATATTGACCCTACCTTTCACTGTGACTCTGGCTGTTTCAGAGACATTTCCTCTGTCGTTCGAGGCGTGACACGTGTAGGAGCCCGTGTTGTATGCAGTGGCATTGTGGATTTGCAGATGGGACACTCCATCTTCATTTTGCACCACCACATTGGTAGTCTGGTAATAATCCCATGAATATTGTGGTCGTGGGTTGCCTGTCGAGGAGCACTTCAGCCACACGGTAGAACCAACGTCAACTTCAGAGTCCTCGAGCTCAACTATCTGTGACGGTGGGTCTGGAGACAGCAATGAAAACACGTCAGAGAAAAAGCAGATGACTCGTGCTGACAGTAGATATTTAGGATTAAAATAACCCACATATGACATTGATATCCAGGGTGTGGTTGACACTTGACAGAGTGCTTGAACCGTTGATCCAGTACTGCCCTGTGTCGTTTCTTGTTAGGTTCTCTGGAAGTTCCGCCTTCTTGCCATCTTTGTACCAGGTGACCTCAGGTTTCGGAAAGCCCTTCACAACGCAGGAGAGGCTGTGAGGAGCGTCCTCCACTGCTGTGTGAGTGTCTGGACACTTTACCTCTGGTCCATCTGAGAGCAAAAACACAAAACACTACTTTAGACTTACACTGGAGCAGCAATACATACACCTTTTCATGATACTTTATATTCTTTATATATATTATAATAATAGGTACAGTGTGTAGGTACATACATGACATTTGAGCTCTGCTTTTAGCTCATAAGCATTCATTTTATTTTGTAGTGTTGCATGAAGATCTGAACACTTCTTGCACCATGCATCTGCTGTAGCATCCTAATATAATAGCCACATTCTGTTTGTACATCAAGGTATTTGCAAATACAAACACTACAAAAAAAGAGTACAGAACAAATCCTGGCGATATGACAACAAGGTTATGAACCTGTGTAAATTATCCTCATGCTCTTGTTTGTGCTGATGACACTCACACAATACATGAACCGACAGCTCCTTCCGGATGATGGTGGCGCCCTCAGCATGAATGGTGTACCGGCCGGCATCGCTCCTGCTCAGAGGGACGGCTGGGTCGGTGGGCCGGTCGGCTTTCAGCCAGCTGACTTTGGGGCTGGGATGTCCTGTCACATGGCATCTGCTCTCCAATGTTTCTCCTTCCCGTAACTCCAGTATGTCCAATGAAAAACATTGCACATCTGGTCCAACTAAACAGAAGCAAACACAGCAGCAATTCATACAACTATTGTATTTTTTTATTAAGCAGATGAAAAGAAGCTGTGACATAAATCAGGCGATAGAACCAACTGAAATATGTTGGTGTTTTGTCCTCTTAGACGAGTATGAAAGATAATTTACTGCTGGTTTTGTCTGACCAACCATCTGACACCAAAAGAAATTCTGTTTATTTATAGTATATTATTATATAGTTTAGAAACAGTACATTTACAAACTGAAACTGTCAAATGTTTGTCACTACGTTTTGACAAATTACTTACACGATTATCAAAATAGTTTGATTGACTAATCGCGTAATCTTCATTTTATGTTATTCATTCTATTTCATCTTATCTTTTATCAAGTGTGTTTAATTTCTATCTTATGTTTCATAATTATGTAATTCTGTCAGTAGTAGTAGTAGTATTTGTATTATTATTGCTATTAATACGAATAATCATTAAATAAGCATTGCAGCTCCAGTGAAAAACAGCACAGAAAAATGTAAAATTCAAAATGACCATTTTAGGTACATTTCAGACTGGTGAGTACACGCATGATGTACTCACAGTGAACTGTAATTTGAAAGCCTTGTGAAGATGCGTTAAGTTGAGGTCCTTCTGGCATCAGGTCCAGATGTGCCTCGCATTTGAACGTGACTCCGTTGTCTTGTCTGGTTGGTGTGATGCTCCATGAAGATGAGTGATTCACTGGTTTCTTACTGGGATTGTCAAAAGTGTCTTCAAAGACCATTGCATCTCCCTTGTACCACAGCACGGAGAGATTTTGAACAGGTGCTATATTGTGGATGGCACAGGTGAAGTTATATGTCTCTCCTTCATTCATCACACCACCTGCACCGCCGCTGGAGCGGATACTGATGGTTTCTGGGAATGCTGGAGAAAAAAGAGGAGGCCATCAGACACAGTCGCATCATTCTGATCCTCTGCAAAATAAGCAGGACTTACTGTAAAGTACAACTGTTGGGTCCTGGGAACACTGTTCAAAATGGCTGCCCGGTGATAGGTTGATGAAGCATGAGGGAGAGGCAGTCCAGTCAGTGAGGTTCGCCACGGTCCAGACCAGATGGTTGACCTGCTTTACACCCGTGCCTCCTTCTGAAGCCTCCCAGCCCATTCCTTTAGAGAGGCTCTCCGATGTGCTGCAGTTGACTGAGACCGAGTCTCCATATCTCACCACCACACTGGGGGGGCTCAACTCAATGGGACAGGAGGCATGCACACCTGCAGCACGGAGTATACATGACATGTTGCTTATTAGTAATCATCCATAGTTTGAGAGCATGTCCCCTGTATGTCTCCTTTTCTTTACTTTGTCAGCAAATTAAAAATGTCCCGACCATCAGAGAGTGTATGTGTCTGTTTCTTTGTTTCCATGCCACCACTGTTGTGCTGGGTCTGTTTCCTGGTACCAGTAAATAAATGCATTCATTGTAATACAAAGGAGGACTAATGAGTGTTCATCACTCACCAAAATAGCAACCTGAAAGTACAATGTTGTAGTCATCACTGTAGTTTTTTATTTTCACTTTTTCTTTGGCACAATAAGTCAAAACTGGTTGGCAGAGAGGATTCCTGGTCCTGCCATGGTGCTTTCCTCAAATTGTCCCGATGAACTACTTTGTTCCTGAAGTTTAAACAACTTAAATAACTAAAAAACAATCAATTACAATCAAACATATCTTTAACAAAAGCATATCAGATTCATATATTTGACCTATTAATGTGACATTTTTCTTTTGATCTGGTGACAGAATGTCAAACACAAACCCCAAAGTTTCGGCAAAAAAAAAACGATATGGAATTTAATCAGCAATGTGATCAAATGAATCAGATAATGAACCAGACCTAATGGGACGTTTGCAGTTAAGGTGAAAACTATTCTCATCCACATATTCCTTTAACTCATTTCTTTAATCATAGAAACTGTTGTTTTTCCCCTGATGGACTCAAAGGTTTTTCATGTTCTCTTGAAATGTATTGAGAGATCGTTCAATGTCTCAGATTAAAACACATTTCTTATAGCCGGAGAAACTTCTGTCTTTGTTTATTTGTTTGTTTTCTCTCGATGCACAATGAGTTAACAGTCCTTTTCTTTCCCCTCTGCTTCTAACAAAGTTCTGCGACTATTGTGAAATGCAACACTTTCACCTGCAGCTGTTTTATTGTTAATGACTCTTGGTGATTAAACTGAGGCTCATACAGCGTTTTCACGTAGTCAGCATATATCAGAGTTTCTCTTTAAGTTTCTGTTGAATAACAAGACACACATATACATCATATACACATATACATCATATACGTACATCATACAGATCGTACACATCATACAGACCTACCTGTCGCACTGAGCAGGAACCCCAGAAAGAGTCCAACAAAGGATGTGCTTTCACTCATTTGATTTGAACAACGGTCCTTCTGTCGTTTATTCCAGCTCTGCAGGCTGTCCAGGTCTGTAGTAACCCAACCAAGTAGGAGAGAGAAGTACAGCCAACGCACTCTGAGGGGGTTATGCTCTCTCTGTCTCGATCTCTCTCCCTCTCTCTCTCTCTCTCTCTCTCTCTCGCTCCCTCTCTCTCTCTCTCTCTCTCTCTCTCTCTGTCTCTCTATCTTTGCCTTTCTGTACGGTTGCAGGTGGTTTGAGTTTGTGTGGGATTTTTATTCATGAGTCAGCCGATGTTACATAGCCTGGCAGATCTGCTGTTGTGATGTTTTTAGCACATTGAATCTTGTTTGTCGTTCATTATACTACAAATTAAACAAAAGACATGAATTCAAGTAGGGCTTTTTCAATATGGCCAAAATGTTCTGTCACGATGAAGATCATTTCATATCTCGATGACAATATATGTCACAGTAGATAGCATGTTTTCTGGTAATTCAATAAATAAACAACCATATGGTTAAAACCTTTGTGTACTCCTGTTAGATCCTTGACAAATGTTTTTTCTTTTAATTAAGAACTTTAGTTCAAAATGAACATAAACAAGTTTCAAGTGAAACTATAGAGAAAAAAAATCAAATTAATATTTCCAGCTATACACTGACTATATTTACACATAACTAAGGAGTAATCAGTTAAGAAAATAGTTTGATTTCACTACATAAATCATAGCTAGCAAGTGATCCTTAGTATCAATTCAGATTATGAGTGTGTATCACGACACCTCAATTCATGATTTCATCACGATACCATTCCTTTGAAAGATGATTCATTGTCATATTTAGTTATCATATGGTAAGACATTTGCATATCAAAAGTATATTTTATGGGTTTCAAGTGATTATAGTTATGTTTTACACCGATATCACAAATATGAAAAAAGCTCCTGTTTTGAACTTTTATCTTTTTCCCCAAAGAAACAAATGATAATGCAAATATTACCAAAATATCTCCAACATATTTCACTGTTAAATATTTGAACAAATAAAAAAAGGTGAAGAAAAGAAAATACTTATCGTACATTTTTCCCATTTTAAATCTGTGTACTTAAATATGAAGCACTGCTACAGTTTAAACAGTACAGCAGATGAATGATCTTATATAGACTTCAGGTGCAGGTGTTGATGTGTAACTGTGAGAGTAACTGTGCTTCACTGTGAGTACTCGTATTTCTTCAATTTACTGCACTGACATACATGCTTTTAGTCAAAATGTACATATGGACATTTTAAGTCGACCATGCGGTTGAAAAATAAAAACTGCTTTACAACTAAAAATAAAAAAGCTGTGCGAGTAAGGAAGAAATGAGATGACAGTGATGGTCTCGTGCTCCTTTTCTCAATCAGGCTAAACAAAGTGTTCTGTGCTGATGTTGGAGGGATTCATTATGCCCACACTTCTTCTTAAGGTCACCAGAGATTCATTCCCACACACACACATTTCTTCAGAAAGCAGAAATGCACCAGCACCAGGATCTTATATTTAACACCGTGCTTTTGCAAAAATATTAGACTTTTTAAAATCACTATCAGTTAATAATGAGTCAGAAATTATATATGTTCTAATTAAGATCCATTAAATGTATAAATAAATGGAAATTTGTAATAAAATAAACATGTTGGCTTGTTTCCTGAAGGCAGCTTCCACTTTCACTGAGATGCTAATCTGTGGAGTTTCCACTCTACACATGGCATGCAGTCACTTCCTGTTTTTAGATGTTTCTTATTGCAGAACTCTTGGACTTTCCAGGATATGCAGGATATGAGTTCCTTGATTTGGGGAAAATGTTGCCCTGATTCGCCGATGGATGCAGGAACGCTACCGATGAGTCACCTGACAGAACGATTCATTCGTGGCAGACAAATCTCCAGCAATAATTAATAAAAGGAGGCTGACGTTTCATAGGAAGGCATAGAGCACATCCTCCAGGAGCCCTTGTGACCCACAGAAACAATGCGTTGGTATGTGAAACAGGGAAAGTGAGAATGCTGAGAATAAACAGCTGCACACAGTCAGGCGTCTTAAATCCAGTTTGGGTCAAAGGTTGTTTGAGCAGTTCATTAGATGGCAGCAGAAAGGGATGATAGAAGAAGATATTCAACAGGGGGAGACCACAAAAGACAAACAGAGAGCTTCAGTTAGGAAAACAAGCATTGAGATTCTGGTCGTGTTGCTGAATCACTCCCTATTTACAAAACATGCACTTTAACTTCGGGAGGTCTATCCACACATTCAGTTTTTAATAAATTGTTACTGGATGCATGCCCACAGTCAGCTTTAATCTCTTGACAAAGGGTCATTGTTTCTCAGCAACAAAGCCAGAGGAACCGAAAACTGTTTTTGCCTGCAGTGTGAGATCACTATCAGCTTCATTCTCCTGTTTATGTCCAAAGACAGGAGACCTCAGAGAGCCCCGTCGGCCGCTGCTACAGCCTTTCCAGCTCATGGGGATTATCTGTGCTCAGATATTTACACAAGTGGGTCACCGAAGTGTTAATGGTGTCACAAATGGCAGCTCTACTGGAGGATTTTTTTTCTCACGATAAAGGGTTTATTTTGCATGGTAATGAAATGACAGTGTTGATCCATTTGCAGCAGCATGATAGGTAATTCATATTTGAGTTTTTTATACAGAGGAGATGACTCGATTAACCCTTGATATGAATATCTCCATCCTTCAGATAAAAAAAACACAGAGGTAGTTATCATCTTGTTTTGTCTCAAGTCTAATCTTGCTCTGAGGAAAAACAACAGAGTAGTCAGATAAGACTGGAAATCCCCGGCAAATATAGGAAGAAAACTGGAAGTGATGGAATAAATGGATAGGAAGAAAGAGGGAAAAAGGTCCACGGGATTCTCATGAAAACCCCCCAAAAGTTATTTCCCTCCTTCTTGGTCAACGGTGCTGGTTATCTGCATGCTCTTTGTGGACATGACAGGGCGCAAGAACAGTGAGGGGGAGCGGATTAGTAAAAGGAATGAGGACATACGAGTAAACTGCATAGACTAACAACATATAATATGAATATTAATGACATATTTAACGGGTCGCTGTCGTAGCAGCAGTAGGAGGTCTACTTTTGTAATGAAACATCAAATTATCACCTGTTTGAAGTTTACTTTGTGCTATTTATCTATTTAGTTATTCTGGGGTTTTGCTTTTGTTTGTTTGTTTGTGTGTGCACTATTTTATCTATAGTTGGAAGATAAAAACAGATTCAAAGAATGTGTCAAGTTCAAATAACAGAAGGGAAACTAATATATCAATGATGTGTATTAACAGAATAAAATATATTACAAAAAGACAATCTGAGGGACTCCTCCGACAGCTTTACCTATTTAAAATCTGTGATAAAAAGGAAATATCTGAAAGAATGTACCCGAACAGATCCAGAGACTAATTACTTGTCGGGACACTGATAACGTGACCTTGTACTGTCAGAGAACACCCAGATGCTTGTTTCTCACCCTCTCTCAACCGGAGTTGTAACACTGAGCTGGTGCTTGATGCTCAACCAGAGAATTACACATTCACCACGCAACAATATGAGTGTTGTCCATTTACTCACTGAAGCAAGGCTTACTGTAATGTGATCACGGAAAATGCATGAGGCTAACAGAGGCCCCTCTGTCTCCAGAGATTCCTTGAGTTTCTCTTGCATTTAGCAGCCATTTTTCTTTATTTTGAGCAAGAGAAACGATGCCAGCGTCAGTGTGCGTGGACAGATTCCTGAAATGTCTTTCTACATATTGCTCGGTCCCCCGCACGGCGTCATTTTAATCTTACCTGCTGGGCAAACTGCATGATAAATCAAACAGCACAGGCTCCGCTGTGTTCCAATATCTATACACCGCCAAACTTTGTCTGAAGCTCAAAGGAATTTCAGAGTAAAACAACAACTTTAATTCCAGATTCAGTGCACTTCTACAAACTTCTATTCAAATTAAAAAATCATCGGTTTCCATGCAGACCCCTCAGTGCACTAACTGAGAGTTAAGACTCTACATACCACAACATTGAGTAAGATCGATTCCCTGCCAACGGTTGCATTCTTCCCTTGATCATTAAACTGAGCAGGGGTCATTTCTGTGTTTTTGGAAAAAGGATTCTGTACACATATTCAATGCAATGTTTCATGCAAACTCGCTTAGGAAGGTTCACAGAGCCAGAGGTTCCAGATGCCAGCCTATACTTCATGATGTGGCCAACGTATATAAAATATATACCCTCAAAACAACAAACCCATGACTGTCATTATTATATATTCACTTTTAGTAGCAATCTATGACAAAACTATGAATACATTGTATAAATCAATGGCTTTTTTCCTTTTGGTCATTCTGTCATATACAGATATGCAGTGATGATGTCTGGGTAATATGTTGTCGTTGTCCGATCGTGTGATGAGACGTTATGATATACGTGGTTTAAGCTCAAAATCTCTCAAGACTGACGAGCTGAGCTCATCTGTAAGCCGAGCGAGCAGTCGTGTCTTTTAAACATGACAGCGTCAGCAAGAAAAGACAAAAGAGGAAAAAACATGAGGAAAAGGTATCAACGCTCCTTAAATTAGATTCCTTTGGCACTCTGGTTTCCTATTATCAACAGAAACGTCAGACTCTGATTCACTTCTTCCCTTTTCTAATGAATATTTAGTCCTCACAAAGTACTCTGTGCCAAATCAAACTTGGTCAGTCGATTAACTTGAAAAAGCCAGATACATCATTACATAGTTTGTGATGGAAACAGAAAGGGTAAGTTTAGTGTTTACAGGAACCAGAAAACAAACAGGAAATATCTTAATTACTTTGGACAATTCTACGGGTCCACAAAAGACAGGAAGAGTGTAAATCTGGCGACAGACTGGAAGTCTCTTTTCCTGATCTTATTTCTCTTCGGATGACCTCCTGTTCTGCTTCCTGGACACCACGAGTAGTAGATCCCCTTCCTCTTGTAAATCCCCGTCCCCTCTGTAGCCAGGTCCTGAGTGCATTGTATCCATTTATGTGAAATAATGAAACTGTTTCTCTATTTCACCCTCCCCTTCCCCTTTGCT